GATTAGAGCTGCTCTCGTCGTCGTACGTTTACCACCCACACCCTTCTTCTCCTTTCGCTTCGATGAATTTAAATTTTCAATTTGATACGTTCTAATATTCTTAATACTAATTCATTTTATTTCCTATTTGTTTCAGGTAAGTCCGCAATGTAATTCTGTATCGATTTTCCTCGTCGTTCGGTATCCGTTTCGTCGATTCGCGTAAGTAACCAGATAATTAATGAAATTTCACCGAACAACGATCGCGCCCGATAAGTCACGATCGAGAAACAAGAGAAACGTGAAAGGGGTTGGGCGAGAGGAGGAAAAAACAGCACCGGTACGGGACATCGGCTCGTTCTTCATCGGGGGTTTCAAGGGAATCCGTCTTAAGAAATCGCTCCGGTCCCTTATCACCATAGAACAGGAATCCTTTTGCTGCAGACGCGTTCGATCATCGGCGGAGAGAACAGCGGCCAGATAGTTGGAGCGATTTGTAACGCCATAGAGAATAAACGCGCACGGCGAAGCCGCAGCGGGGACCAGGGTGAGGGGTAGTTGACGGCGATGTTCGATTTATCAGAGGCTTTCTCTCGATGAAAATAATAGCGAAACATAACTGGCGGAAAATAGAAAAAAATGAAGAGCCTCGGTATTGCTTCAGATAATCTTGTCAACGTGTCGTTGTTATAGATTTATAGGGATCATTGAAACTCGTGAATTTTTAAATAACCAGATAACTATCTCGGTCCGTAACGTAATTCGCCAGCAATTCGTTAAAAGAATTTTGCGAGTAACCTCCTGATATGAAAGGCGAGAAAGCATATCCTATGTTTTACGTATCAGGGAGCAGAGTGTGTCTGGTCTGAAACGCGAGAAAGTGGTGCAGTTCGTGGTCCAGGTTCAAGGGTTGAGAGAGCAGAGGGGGGTATAGAGGGTGAGCTAGGATCGTGCAGGGGTAGTAGAAGCGTAGTACCACCCAGGAACCACGGACGCCGCCGCCCACTCGTGTGGAAAAATGATAGCAGCGTACTGACTGAGTGGCCGTGCTTCTGTCTCCCTCCAACTTTCCCATTGAAGCATCCACGGGGGTGGCTGAGGGTGGACTGGGTGCCGCTACGTGGCTAGAGGGGGGTTGGGCGGTGGCAGGGAGAGAGACGAGATGCCTGCTCCCGATTCCCTTATCGCCACGGCACAGTTGTGTGTGCCTTTATGAAGATCTGTCAAACTCTACCTTCTTCCTCGCTCACCTACCACCCTTCTATCTTTCCTCTTTCTTCCATCTATCCTCTCTCCTTTCCCTTACTCGCTCGTTCCTCTGTCGCGGGTGTTGCGGACCTAGGTGTAATGACGTATCGTGTATCTAGCGCACGTCGAAGCCAAACGCCGTTTCTCCGACTCCTTTCACTTATCTGAACGCGAACTTTGCTTTTTTCCTCTCTATCTCTCTCTCTCTCTCTCTCTCTTTCGTTTTCAACGGTGGTTTATTTGGGTGGCGCGGCAGGGTGGAACGCGACTGTCTGGACGGCGGACCTGATTCAGGAACGAGCTGAATTTTTTCCCCCCATCTCTCTCTCTCTCCCTGCCCGCATGCTGTTTCTTATCCCGTGACATTTTCGTTTCTACCTAACGGATCGCAACACAGGTCGGATCATTGAAGCATCACGGCGCTCGATAAATTCGACGCTTCGTTTCGAGGATGTTCGAGAAACCGTGAACCTGTTATCCGATTCGAATCTTCGGCATCTGGCGCGGTCGAATCAGCCAGCGTTCGTGTTGAGGGTGGTGGGTGGTAACGGTAACTAGCTGAAAGTAGAGGAGCGCCGATATCACACGTCGTAGGACATCGTAGTTTCATTCAAATGCTCAGATAACGGCCACGGTAATGGCGGCAAGTTCTCTGACTATGTCTCACGACGCCCTCCGCGACGTTACTTCGCCGGAATCAATGAATTCGAACACGATAATGCGAACTTCTGCCAAGAGAACCGCTCGACTCGTCTAATCTGGCTTCGGAAGAAGAAGAAGGCTACTACTTGACTCGCTTTCTCCCTTTCCTCTTTGAACACCCTTTAACAACGGGTGTAGTCGAATTTTTCTATCGATCCTAAGGGTTAATTTCTTCGAAAGTATTCCGAATTTCGCGATACGCCCTGTAACCCTGAGAAAGCGATGTCGCCCAAGGCGAGACGCGTAAAGGGCAGCGAAGCAATTCATTAAAGCTGCACGACCTTCGAAGGAACAAGCAGTTAACTCCGCCCATTTCAACCAGATTTGTATTATATAATTAGCCGAAACAAGGCATCCAGAAGAAGGACAGAGAAAGAGTATACGTACTGGGCGTGAAATGCCAAGGAATTCGTTCGGATCCTCATCAGCTACTAGACTCTTTTTCTCTTTCTCTCTCTCTCTCTATCACGACTGCCAGTAATCCTCTTCAGGGTCGAAGGATTTCACGATCGCTAATGAGATTCCGAGTGTCAAAACTCGGCTTGGGGCCTGTTCTCTTGGACGCACGCACACGCACGAGACGTGGCCACCAAATAACGGATCGTAGCGATTAGATGGAAGCGATAAAGGTGTCCTGAGGTGGGCTACGGGTTGAACAGGTATACAGGCGTACCAGGTCGCTTCTTCTTCGTCGTTGTTGGTTGATAGGAGGGAGAAGGATAGAACGATGGGAGGAGGAGAGGAAGAGGGAGAGGAAGTGGCAGAGGACGAGGGCAGAAAAGATAAAGAGAGGACTAAAGAGCGGAGATTAGCGCTAATGCACCATCGAGGGAATGGGATGGTATGGGGGCGAGGTCCATCGTATCTCTCATATTTCAGACCCCCGTGACGTCGTCCGAGATACCGAATCATTCCCACCTAGAGTCGAGCCGTATATTTTTAGACGGTCTCCTTTTCTTTCGTTAACCGAAGCCTTCCTGTTCCTCTCGAACGAATTTGCTCGATCGAGAAATATCGTCCTCTGACGGGGAAAAATCGTATTCGTTATCGGTCGCGTAAACTCCGATAATTATAACGGAAGATGACTTTGTACTCTGTTAGCGATCTTTCGTACGCCAAAGGGTACATGCGAAATGGGTTGATCGTTCACGGTTCGACATAGTCTGATCGTCGTAAAGTTGAAGGGATTTTTAGTTGGAATAATTTTCCCAACGATCCGCCGACGTGTGGGCAGAATACTTGTAAATCACTCGGCCGGTTGCACGGAATACCGTGAGCTCGCCGATATTTATCTGGCTGAAAACCGAGGGAAGCTTATTAGACTCGGATCCATGTACCTTAACAGACGTTCCTTATCTCAGGTGTCGACGCCTCGTGCGGAAAAGGTTAACGTCGGGACAAACGTTAACCTCCGATTTACGTTGCTGCTCTTTTCACCGGGGCCCACCACCACCGCCGCGCCGTTGCTATTTCGCTATTTATCGAAATAGCTGACTCGATCGAGCTCGCAATTAGGATCGAAAACCGCGCACGTACGCTTGCGAAATCGAATTCCATGTTGCCGGTGGAGAATAATGTTTAAATTGTCTGCATTTATTCGTTCAACCTTCCATGTAGGTGCTTGCATACTGATGTGATTCGATTTTTAATTATAGGGCAACGTGTACAGTTGTTGACCCCTGGAAAATGATTGACCATTTTCCTAAAAGAGTAGGAAATATAATACATGTAATGCGTTTTTTAACACTCGGACGACGGACCATGGAGAGTGGCCCAATTTTAATTTAATTATGTTACTTCATATTGTTTGTAGCCCAAATACTTTTTATATCGTATAAAATTATATTTTCTATTGTTTTAGGAAAAGGGTTGATTATCATATTAGTGATGTATAAATTTCAAATTTTGAAAAAATAAGAAACAATGAAAATATGTTTCAAATATATTGGAGTCGAAGAAAATAGTAGGGTATACGCTATAAAATGGAATTTGTACCGAATAAAAATTAGGTTACACAGGATTAATTAATCTATCGAAAAATCACGATTGCGATATTTACGTGGTAAGAGCAATCGCGATTCGCTTCGGAACGTTGCAAATATCAAGAGAGACAAGATGTCCAGGTTCACCGGTTAGCTTGTAAATCGTCTCGTGTAACGTGTTCGCGAATTAACGACGCTTTCAGCGACTCGTTATCCGCTCCGGCTGTCCGCGCTATTCTTTATAGCATTATAAACTTCGGCCGTTGCATTATCGCGAACCGTTCGATATCTTTGCACTTTGTATTTTCTCGATCAATCGCGTCGCGGCAACTGCGCCGATCGTTTCATTTCATTTTTTTCGTTGGTAAACAATTCTTTTTCGTCGCTCGACAGTTCCACCGCCTCGTGAAAATTCGAACGTATCGAATTATATCGTTGAAGGAAAAAGAAATTTCATTGCGACGCTTAATTATCTCATCGCGACGGTTAATTATAGAAAAATCGTAAATGCAATTATAACGTTTCGATATTCCTCCATCCCCAAATTATCGAAACGATGAAAAAAGTAGAGGGGGCGGTTAACGGTTGTCGAAATCAATCGGTAGAGCCACCCTCGCTTAACCCATCGTTACAGCCTCTCGTTCGGGCTAATATTGGCTCATAAAAAAAAAATCATGTTATCCGTTCACGCGTACGAGCTTACACGGTGCATCCGTTTTTGCCAGCGACCGGCCAATGAAGAGAGAGAATACGGGTACGATAGGGGGTTGAAGAGAAACGAAACATGGGTCTGGGTACACGAGCGTCAGCAGCCAATTCACGCTGCCGGATAACATCGAATATTTTTCGAGTGAACGTTAGCGAGAGAGAAAAAAAAAAGGAGAGAGAAAAGCGAAAGCTCGTGAACAGAGCAAGATAGAAGAGAGGGTTGAGGGTTGAATCCGCGTGGGTCGAGGCCGTTAAAAGGCCTGCTACGAACTTTTCGACAATAACCAACGTCGACCAGGCAGTTATTGAATTTTTATTGGCGACGACCAGTCAATTTGCGATTACAACCCCCCCCCCCCCCTGCTCGTCCTCTTTCACAATGGATCGACAGCTCGTTCGAGGAAGAGACACCTCGTTTCTTTCTATTCGACACTTCTCGATCGAGAAGTTTCCTTCAAGGTGATTCGAACGATGGATGAGCTGCACGGATGACGTGAAAATTATTACGTCCGTCAGATGGGCTCCAGGGATGATTTCTCTTATGATTTCTCAGCGGGTAATTTGACGATCGACGGATTCCAAACGTCACTGCTGTCGATGATGGATCGCCGATAGGAATTTGATGCTTCCCGAAGCTTGGAAATTGAACAATTATCAATCGAACCGTATTATTTCGACGAAATGTCGGTGTCGCAAGAAGTATACTCTCGTCTACCACGAGGAAGATTGCCGAGGTGCCGTTCAAAGTGAAGACGTCCTGCTACGTGTTCGAAGGGTCACCGTATATCCTTTCCGAGCTGTTCAAGGAAACAGGAACGACTTGGCTGTTCGAGAACCGGAAGCAGCGCGTGTACACCTTAATGGACTCTTCGAGTATGCCACTTAACCGGTTGTTGCGTAAGAGGAGAACGATTCTCACCTGCCTTTACGAGGGGTGGCACACGTGTCCAAAGGGGATGGGAACGGAATTTCACTTATTTCTTTTCTTCTCTTTACCATGCGAGCTTCTTGTAAGAAGTTCTTATTGCAGGAAGTTCTCGTGAACCCGAAGGGTGGCAATTAAGCACGAAACGTAGTTCGTATCGAAAATGGTATTTATTTTAAATTCGAACTAAGCGATGCGAACTGTCCGGAGGTCGAGCTCTTTCTTGCAAAACGGGGGTGAGAGGCCGAGGAAAAACTAGAGAGGAATAACTATTGGAAATTTTGTGCGGAGAAGGGGTTAAGGATAAAATCTGGGATTTTGGAGGAGGGTAATTTATGGCTGTCTTTATTACCACAGCAAGTGTTTTAACAATGCAAGGATCGACGTTGATCAGATGCCTGATTTCTAGGGGTTGAAAAATAGGAGTTTCAGGAATGTCTAACAAAGTTCGCAAGTATTACAAGTACCATCTCGATTTTAACAAATAAGTTTTCATTCTTTCTGATATTTTTAATTGATACATTAACTATCATTAGTGATAGGGATCTTTGTGAAAGGTTAGTGAATTTTCAATGTTTCGCTGCGTTCTACGATCCCGAAAGCACTTCCGTTCGCGATAAAACATCAATGGTGAAATTCGACCGATAGATTTGCATGACCGGTGAAAATCGGCCATCTATCAGACCGGCTTTCGAGAGGCACGCTTCTCACCTGTCGTCACAAAGGGGTGGCTGCGTGTTCCACGGGGTGGAAACGATGTATAAACACGCGTGAGGGATGAACTGCGCCTGGTCGACCTCCTGACGCGATCGACCATCGGCGTTAGATCATTCTTGACACGGCATCCGGCTATGCTTCTCTTTCCTCCCTTCTCTCGGGGTCATTTTTTCCAAACTTCCTCCGATACGGAAAGAACAATGCAAATTGTCATACACGAGATATCGCGTGAAACATTGCCGGTCTGGTGTAGGTAATTAAAAATTGAATCGCGGTATATCATCGGGGCGGAACTTTTCACCGAGTGCTTGATATCTTTCTTTTATTTTGAAAACAAGAAAAAGAGTTTATAATTGGCCGCTCCGAGAATAGCGTGCGTATTTATATTTACACACTAAAGATCGTACGTTCCTCGAGGTATAATTTTAATAATTACCACTGGAAAAGTAGCTTTTTTTTTTTAAATCTTTGCTTTACTTCCTTCTTTACTTCGGTCAGGCGCGGTTAAAGCTTTCGTGATGGTCTTTGAAAGCTTGTTTCTGAAATATTTTCTCGAAGAAATAAACGAATTCGTTAAAGAATTTATAAAGTAATCGCGTGCGTTGTTTCGTTCGTCGGAGATTATTAATAATTGTATGAAAATTCGTTGAACGGTGATTTCGCAACTTCCGTTAAATTGACCTCTCGAGCGTATTCGCGAAAGGTCGTCCCACGTTTCCCGTCGAGTTTCTGTTCGAAGTTAATGGCTTAATGGCGAGTCGATGTCCGAGCGAAGAGGGTAACATTTCACGGTGCTTGGTCAATACAAGCGGGACAATTACACGGTCGTTCAAGCTTCTTCTGTAGTCTGTTTCGTAGAGAACGAACGATATCAAACACAAACGCGTTATCTTATCACGCGGAAACCCTCGTTTCGCCGTCGCGTCGCTTTCTTTTTCCTTTTCTTCTTCCTCGTCTACACCGTCTCATTGCTATTCGTACTTCCACCTCTGACGGACAGTGGATCCATTTATTCGCAAATGCCAAGGCCGAGGGAAAGATCGACGATCGTGAAATACGTGAAACCGTACGTTGCCATAGGGTAATTTACACAGTTATTGACCCCTATACGATGATTGACCGTTTTCTTAAAAAAGTAGTTTCTTGATATTATTTCGACAGAGTGGGGCACAAGCAAAATATTTTAGTGGTACGTGCTATAGTTTGCGCTATCACTATCTACAGATTAGAGAGGAACTCGAAAATTCTCTAATCCGATTAGGAATAGATAACGATAAACAAATACTTTCAAATAAATTAATTTTTATTCAATATAATTATCTGAATATTTAATTAATTAATTAATAATTAGTCACTCTGCCGAAATAATATCCGTTTCTTACATAATAAACTATAATTTTATTCAGAACAAAGGGTATTCGGGCTACGAATAATATGAAGTACATATTAAGTAAATTAGAATCGAGGCTCTCTCCATGGTCCGCCGATTATTTCTTATTTCTTTTCAATATTTCTTGCAGAATAAGAATTCATACTCAAAGACGTCTTAGCGCAGACGATCATCGATAGGTGTTAATATTATTTTCGCCCGTTATCGTTGGATCTTTCAACGAAAATATCATCGGTTAATAGCTTTCTCCGGCGGACCAATTATAGCGAAAACGATCTTTTACGCGAGGACACGTCCGATACTATCGAGCATCGCCATCGTCCTCTTCGAAATTAATGGTAGAAACAGGGCGGCCGCGAGCGGAAGCAGAAGTCCTGAATGGATGGATTGCCAGATCCTGATCACTGGCCAGTTCCAGCAGCACTCTGAAGAGTGGTCGAGATAGCGACCGATCCTCCAGCTTGATCGACGATTTGTCAAAGTCTTTCCACGTAACGTAGCAAGACGACGGACACCAGGACAATGCTGTCTCTCAGCTCCACGGTTCTGATATTTAACGTTACATCGCAAAAAATCCGTCTCCTATCGGGCTTCTTGCGGTGGACAAAAAAGTTTCTCCGCCCTGTCCGTTTCTTTCCTCTAGTTAATACCCTTTCTATTCTTCTTTTTTAATCTAATCGAGAATGTAATGATATTTCATATGTCTAAACAAGTTTCCGTATTTCTTTCATAGAAATACATTCACCCTGGTTCTGATGCCGCATTATCGTTACGTTCGTAGACTTTCGCGTAGCCCGAGCCATGGTTGTCCGCATTAAAAACGCAGCATCCTCCGCGATAGTCGTGTTGGCGTGTATATACCAGGTCGCAGATGTCGCAAAACGCCGAGAGCAGCCGGCACCGAAGTTCTCCGATAGCCTGATGGTCATTTCTCATTTGCGTAATCTCGTCCTGCTACCCTTGCTTTTCTCTCTCCTCACCGTTTATCCTCGCTGCATATATCTATATATATATATATATATACACATATAGATACGTATATATATATATATGTAGAAGAGGAGGAGGGAAAGCGAGAAAGGTAACGGAAGCTCTTCCGCGAGCTCGAGGGGCTGACTCGAGCGACCATTTGTTCCGCAGGGCGGTTTTGACGAGGCGAACTCTCTGTCCTAATCGCCAACGCGACGCGACGCGACGCCTCCTCCACCTAGGAGCTAATCATAATTGCGCGACACGATAAAAAGTGTCCGGCTCTTTTTCACCGTCCTAGGCGTTCACCGGAGGGCACGCTCGGACGATGACGAAGTGCAGCGAGCGGGTATCGCGACGCTTGATGCGCTCCCGTAATCGAGCCCCGACCAGTTCGCACGAGAACACGGAGCTTTTGGATTTCGCAGGGGGGCAATTTTGAAATGTAATGGTAGAAAGTCATCGAGAAGCGGAACGAGCTTCACTTTGGTCGTGTAAGCCATTAATTAATCCGTCGTAAAGATCGAGTTGGCTCCGACAAGCCGATAGTTTAACGAATCACCGAGGACCACCGTGAACGTACTCCGATGATTTACCCCGCGAGGAAAGGAGACACAGGTGGTTAAGTTTGAAAAATCGGCCTAAGGGACGCGGGAAATGTTGGCGTAGAGGTCTGAAAGGGCGAAGGATGGATGATCGACGTACGTGGTGTCGGTGACCCGTAGCTTGTTTGCAGAAGCTCGGCGAGGAAAGAGAAAGGAGAAGAAGAGTTACTTGGCGCCGTGTTATCTTATTCGTTAAGATCCTCCGAGCAACCGAGAGGGGAGAAACAGTTCTCCAACAGTGCTCTCACTGTCTCGCAAGATTCTCTCTTGTTCCTCTTCGAGTCTCTTTTCCCAGAGCGGATCGACGCTCCCGGGGGAGGAAATCCAGGAACAGCCTGGCTGTTTGAGTCGAGACGGGAGATAGACTCCTTACCCTTTCTCCTCTCTTTCTTTCGCCTCGATCTCTCATATCCTTTTATCCGGATGCTGGTCTCATCTGTCCGGCAAGATAGACAGGGATACGGTGGATGGTCCTCGCTCGTTGCTGGCAGTCATGCCCAGTGATTCGTGAGCGTGCAGATAACACCGTTCAACAAATTTTAACTTCCTTTACATCGTATATGAAATCCAGCCCGCGTTTCTTACAGAATTTCGCGAAGCTGATTAACACTTCGAACGGCCTAGCTATCGGAATGATTAACCCACGACGGACCATGGAGAGAGCCTTGATTTTCATTCAATTTTCTCAATTCAATTTCAAATTATTTTCAGGTTCTAAATTTTACATTGCCCCTTTCAAAATTCTTCTTCTAATATGTATTTTGTAAGTTTGAGTCCCGATTGACTCAGGCTTCGCTGTTCGATGGTTAATCGTAGAATTATTTTGATAAATCTAAGGAATCTACCGAACACATGAGAGTGAAATTCCTCTGGCACCAGGAAACATGTTTACGTATAAAATTGAATTTACATTCACGACACGGAAACATCGTCGGGATCATTTTTAATAATAACAGGTTCTCGCGGTTGGCTACACGATTCGAACCTCTCCGGCTTTCCTTCGAAATAAATGATTCACCATCGAAAAGACAAATCGTCCGGTCGAAATCGTTTCAGCCGGTCGAGTGATAAATTCACGGGATCGAGTGATCGGTCAGAGTGTTTAATTATGTTCCCTTGATTCATCCTCGCTAACGGGCGCTAATGAGACGCATCTTTTCAGCGTCGCGACGACCATTTATCCCGTTGAATCGTGAACGTTACGCAACGCGGATAACTCGCCCGCGATATTATTGCGGCTAACGTTGCGAAAGCGGACAATTATCGTTCGCACGATCGCTAATTACTTGCCAATAAATTATCATCGGCAGCCTTGCGGGGCACGACGATCGACGCGACGGCAACCAGTCGAACTCGCGCCTCTCGCGAGTTACTTTTTAATTAGACCCGTCGAATGATTTACGGACAAACGCGAAAATCCTTTCGCTCTCTTTCGACTACCGTTTAATTGCTACCTTTTATTACGTTTTTTCTCTCGATTCCTCGCTAATAACCCGTGGCCACTGGACAAACCGTAACTAGGAACTGTCGATACGAATCGAATATCTTTAACGATATACACAAGGTGTCATGTTTGTCGATATAAATTGTTTCTCAATCCAGAATGATGTATGAAATCGAGATTGAAATTGAATCAGTTGCTAATACAACGTGTTATTAATTTGTGTATCGCATCTGTTATCAAAAAAATATCCTTCCGTGATTCACCGTTTATCCGACAGATACATAATTCACCGGACAATGTCACTCACTGTTCGCACTATGAAAAACAACGGACGATTATTTTGTTGGCAAAAATTTTTCTCTCCCCGGTCAATTGTAAAATGTAATCGCGAGCGTGGAAACGAGCCGAGTTGCCGAGACGCGAGGAGACAAAGAGTACGATTATTAGCTACACAACCCGTTCCCTACGTGTCTTACGATCCTCCTTATCGTTATCGCCATTAGTCACGGAGCCTGGGTTACGAGTATCGCCGGCCGTTATCGTTATCCGTTATCGTGCCACGCTATCGGCGAAGTTCAAGCTTCGTGACGCCGGTGACAGGAGGTACTTTGGTACTCCGCTCTATATTCTACATTCACGCTTTTCTCTTCGAATGACGCACGTAATTGGCGCAAAATTCACTATTGGAGTACGTCGATACCAATTGAGCAGAATGAACGCGTTGTTTATTGGCGTTGCGACGAAGTCTCTCAGTCCAAAATTTATCTAATCGGAAAATTTTGTAAATTGAATTCTCCGAATTCTAATCTTTCTTTTCTTTCTTGTTTGCCGAGGGAGAAATAATCCCCTGTCGCACTATTCGGCTAAGGGCACCCGGGCAGTGAGAAACTCGTACCACCCACGCCAAAAAACTCGGGCACCCTACCCATTGAAACCCTTCCCCCATGTGCGCCGACGGTACCCTTTCAACTCTTCAATTATCCCAGGAATACCGGCGTAAACTCCAAATTCTAATTTTTGCTAATTGAAAAACACTTCCAGTGAAATTGCTTCGTGAAAGATCGGAAGAAAAATGAAACAAATCTGGCCGAATTTTGTTTAGAGCAACTTTATTAGAGAACCGGCGATTCATAGCCGTTCGAGGAACGGTGTTCCGCGTTCGGCTCGAGTCAGCTTCGGGCTTAGCATCGAAAGGGAAAAGCGGAATGTTTGCTCGGTATTATCGTAAGGTAACAGAACGCGAGGAGAAAGAGAGAAGTAGAAGGGCAGCTGTCCTGGAACGGAAACGAGGAGAGAGAGAGTGAGAGAGAGGAGAATGATAACAGGTAGCCATTGCCACGGGTCGTGGTGCCGTTTGGAAAGCAGTGATAGTGCTTCCTTGCAACGGTGAGCATCTCGCTGCGGTTTCGTCTTTCAAGCATCCCGTCGGAAGGAGCTTTCCGCCTCGTCGAAAGCCTTCTCCCGTTAATCGCCAGCTTTCCAGCGGACAAAGATCCGCGAGCTTCGTGCCGGAAGATTCGAAGTCAGTTCGGATTACGAAACAGAAGAATGATTAAACACGAGAGTGCGATCGATAGTTATTTCTATAAGCCCGGTGCGAAAAAAAGAATTACACCTTTTATTTTTACATCAGTCTAATTGAAGCGGATTTTAATTAGAATCCTGTGAATTACAATGGGGATACGTGTTGTCGTTTCGAGTGAATTGCAACGATAATTAACAAGTGATACAGAGTGTTGCAATAATCGTAATGTTTGCACAGTGAGCAGAAATCATTTTTTCTCACTTTCATCCCTCTTAACACATTGTCGACCGGCAATTTTACAATAATAATATGGAATATTGTAAAATTGGTTTCGAAAATTAAAGTAGTCGATTTAAGTGCAAACGGGAGTTAACTCGTGACCAGTCAACAATCTGTTAACTTCATCAAATAATTCACACAGTTAGCTTTGAATCAAAGCGTACGAGAGTCGCTTCTTTTTCTCGAAATGCGAATTATAAAGTATAAAAGCTGAAAATAGAAATTTTCATCCCCCATTCGTCGAAAGTTAGATTTGAAAATAGAGAAAGCCGAAAGTGGAAAATGTTCGGTGTACTCGGTCGCGTGATCGCGAGACTGGAGTATCGTTGTCAGCATTCAATTACCCTTATCGCGGTCCAGGTGTCAGACGTTATCAGCCGCGGGCCAATGGGCCAGCCGTGACGAAAATTTCAGCGTGACGCGGTTAACTGGGGGGTCGATCGTGCCCTCCTAATTGTCGACGGCGGCGCGCAATTAGCCGCCGGTTTTCCGGCCGGATCGGTATTGCGCGTGTGCACGATCGATAAGATGCCGATCGTGGTTGTGGCGGCTTATCGAGCAACCAGAGTGGCCGATAAGAGTGTCCCCGTAGCTGTCGGGTAGAGCACACGGCTCGGCCGCGATACGCGGATTATCCGCGCGGCTCGTTTATTCCCGCGGTCGCAGCTACACCCACGACAAAATCGGCCTACTGGCCCCTAGCTCGATGATCCCCGTTTCGATACCACCATCCACCGATACCACGATCGATCCGCACCGATCGACGTTTTAGGCGAATCATCGAATGTTTCGTTAGTCGAGAGAACAGTGTACTGGATCTTCGATTGTGTTTTCAAATTCTCATAGACGATAGTGAAGAGAGAGTGATTAACGAAGGATGGTGCATAGTTTTATCTCGGAACTGTTGGAAATTGAAGGTAGATGATAACGAACGCGAGAAACCGGACAAATTATTTAAGATTTTCATATCCTTTTCTTCGTATCTTGTTAAATCAATCCGATTATCGAGGTTTCATTTCCTTCATTTCTTCTTTCGAACATAACATTAGGGATCGGTATTTACGTTCGGTAAATGTTTAGAAATCCACGTGCTCGACTCAGTGCAGAAGGACAGTTGCTTGCAGTTCTTCAAACGCGTCGGTCGATGTTTATATGCTCCGCTCCGGCGTCGAGCACGTGAATTTGTATACATTTACTAATTCGTCTTGCTGGACGGATTATAATTATCAGTGTCGAATCAAGTGGTACGAGATAATGAGTTTCGCGTGTGATTCAAGATAATTGTGATCGTTACCACGCGTGTAAATCGCATCAGTTACGATCAAGATTACCATCGTTCGAATCCGATTTTCAGGAATTTATTTCTGATCTATATATCGTTCGGTTATTCAAAATATTTGATCGAAGAAATCGTTTTCATCGGTGAGAAATAAATTCCTAAAAATTCGTAAAAATTTAATCCTTTAAATCGCATCGAACTCTGAACAAGAAGGAATCGTCCAAGCCTGGTCTGCGTGGTTGGAAATCGCTCGTGTATTTGAATAAACACGCGACGAGGGGAAGGAGAGATCGATGGGCGGCGATAGAATCGCGAATATCGCGATAGTCTGTGCGAAGCTCGTGCCGATAACGTAACGCGTTATCGGTCCTGATCGAATCTGATCGGCACACTGATCAGGGCCATCTTGAAATCGGTAGAGTGTATTGGTGACGGTTGCGCGACGTTAAGTCGTTATTTCGGCCCCGAAAACCGTCGGGAAAATCGACCACCACCAGAATGTGATCGCACGTCGCGTCGACAAGTTTCTTCGCGAATAAAAGACAATTCGTGTATAAAAAAATAAGTGATACGCGAAACGGATCTCGTTTGATTTCTAACATGAGTTTGCTGTTATGGAGACAACGAAGAGGCAGCCAACTGAAGGGGGATGCATCGTTATCGTTGACAAGTGAGTGGTTTATTCTTAATGATAATGTATGCGATTAGAATGCATCTTGCAATTGCATCGATGCACTTATGAATTATTATTTCAATCCTTCCGTGATTATATTTGAAATTTCGATCGAAGAATTTAGAAATATAATTTAACGATTTCGTCGATCGCTTGATCGAGTTGGAGCAAGTAAAAGCGTGTCGCGTTTGACAGCGATTAACTACGGGCGTATAATTGTGCAGGGAAGTTTCGAAGTTTACACGAGATAAGGTCGTTAGGAAGATAGAACGATAACCGAGTGACAACGCATGAAACGGAACTTCCATGTCTCATGGTCGTACGGTTTTATTCGCTAAAGTAAATCGGTCCGTTCTTTGAAAGAGAATCATGGTTGGCAAAATAATATGCTTTCCTCGGCTCTTCTGAAAGAGCCGAAGTGTTTCGAACGATTTCGTGGTAAAACGATCGATCTGGAGATCTGGCCAAAGAGGAATCGTTGGCCGATTCGTCGAGGAGGGTGATCGAAAGCAGGCGAACAGAGAGAAAAAAAGAAGGGGTTTCGTCGAACGTTGGCTGCCGGTCGCGGCCTCGCAGCGTTAATGGGAGGAGTTCATTAAGATCGCGCGATTACCGGCTTATCGCGGCTAAGCGAGCCTCGTTACTTTACCGTGACGTCACTTCCTCCCTGTGTCGCTGGTATCCTCGTACGTTGCCTCTCTTTCTCCTCCCGTGCCTCCACTTTTCAGCCCGCCTTTCTTTTCTTCCACGAATTCGAACTTTCCACGATTGTGTAATGAAAAATACCTTGATTACCGCGGAAGGCCAATGACTTGAATTGAAAAAAAACAAAAGAACAGGCAAACTTTGAATCTAAGAAAAAGAAATATAGAAATTCATATTTGAAAGGGTTAAAATTGAGAAAACAAATATATTCTGAATGCAATTTTTATTTTATACATATGTACATATCAATTAACAAGGGAAGAGAAATTTCACGGTGGTTCCTTTGAATATTCATCAGCGTTTAAGCTAGAGATAGGTAAGAAAAGTTTCTTAAAGAAGCTCTTTCGTGAATTTACTCCGAAAACGTTAATCCCGAGCGCAAGGTAACTCTAGAAATTATTATACGTTCCCCTGCAAACTTTGCGTGAAATCGTAACAAAGATTAACTTATTACTAGCCTCTGCTCGAGTAGAGTTGTTTCGTAATTGAAAGGAAAAACTGGACGATAGGTAAAGAATCGTCAGGAACAGATGATAATCATTGTTGGTTTCTACGATCGTGTTTACCTGGTAATCTCTCTGTCATCTAGAGATCGATCTTATTGTCGAATCGCGATAAGCTGGATAAATAGTCTAGACGACGTGATTAGTTGTATGATCCGATCGAGATCTGGTCATCGATCGATATCGTTCGCTCATCGCTCCGCTTATCGTCTCCTGGACTTTGTCTTTTCTTCTATTTGTTGATTTTCTACTATCTGACGAAATACGTGCGACTCTCCTGGTGTGTACACTGTTATCATGATCGATGTACCGCGGTTGATCGTTCGATAACGTTCGATCTTCAATTTATCGTCAGATAAATCCCTCTGTTCGTCGAATCGTTCGATAGGAAAATGGGGTAGGTCAATCGAGCTTACACGCACGAAATTGCAAGATCTCTGGCTCGACCATCGAATATTCGTAGATTCGAAAATTTTCTTTAAAATCTCATCGACGGTTTATGAAATTCGGCGGTATCGCGTGGTCCAGACATTGGATTTCGAGGCAGTCGGTTCTCGCCAGGGCCAATTTCCTCGTCGGTCCGAGAGCTGTTTCATCGTCGATCGTCTGGCAGCAGTGGCCGAGGCGGGTAGACGCGAGTCGAAGCGATCGGTGCCGCGATTTCGAGGACGAGGGAAGACCGAGGAAAGAAGAAGAAGGCGAACGTTAAAGGAGGGCGAGGAGAGGGTTCCACGAAAGGCAAGAAACGAAATAAACGATAAGAGGGACGCCGGGTTAACCAACAAGCAAATTAACACGTGGGAGGGTCCGATCGGCAAATGAGATAATTGTGCAACGACCGACCCCTCCGGGCTCTCTTTTCTCCTCTCCTTCTACCGTATCCTTCCAACAAACCATTTCGTCCACTCTCCTCGTTCATCCGCTCGTACGAAGACTGGCCAGCCACGAGGCGATCGGTAGAGGCGTGTTACCGATGGATCGACCCATCGATGGATCCATCTATCGATCCTCCTTCCCTCTTTACCCTTCTACCCCTTATTCCCGTCCTTCGTAGAGTCGACATAGAGATTATAGGTGAGCATCGACAGACAGCCAGGGGCTTCGAATACTTTGTAAGTTTATTTGCGATCAGCCTGTTTGTATCTTTATTTATGAAATACTGACGGCTTCTATCAACTCCGTGCTTCTTCCGCTTCTTCTTTTTCATTAAGAAATTAATTACATCGGTATCCTCGCTACGTAAAGGATAATTATAAACGGGGGCTAATTTTCCAAAATTATTTTCAACGTTCCATCGAGAATCGCAACTATCAACGTGGTATCTCTTTCTTTCTTGCCGACAATTAAAACGAAGCTTGAAATAAGCTAAGAAACCGGGACGGGGGTGAGGCAGAGCGAAGAGAGGAGGCTGATAAACCGGACTGATAGCGTGCCTCCAAACATTTGCCCGCGATAAGATCCCGTATCTCCTGAGAAAGCCCGGTTTTTATGCTTGTGCACGTTCTTCGTGTCCGTTTCACCGCGAAAGCAACCAGCCCGCTGCTGCAAACGGGAGAGAAAGAGACACCGATAGACAGTGGTCGATAGGTGCGAGGAGGATCGAGCAGAGAAGACCGTGTCTGGCATGGGACCGACAGTGTTGTGTTGTAGTACCGGCTTCAGATAGAGATAGCTATTTTTAATGGAAGTTCCTTCGAGTGCTCGAGTGCCGATAGCCGGCCTCCTATCTGCCGGCTGATATTTTTAATATCGGAAACGGCCAGATGGGGTGGCGGAGGAGAGAGGTTTTGCTAGATAAAGGTCTCTTCTTCTCTCTTTCGTTGACTCGCTGATAGCGCGGATCCTCGTGGCTGCTGTTTATCTCTTTTCCATCCATTTTTCCTCGTCTACCATGTTCGTGGATCCTTTTGCTCCGACCGATCTTCCACGGGATCGGCGTCGAAACAGCGACCGGAATGCGTATCCACGATTTTCTTCTCTATTCGTGTAAAGTTTTCCTGAAAAATTCTTGCGACGTATGTAGAATTTGGTTCGGGTTGATTGTGAAAAAGGGGGTGTCGTTGGCACTTTCGGAATCTCGCGGACCATTATCGTGGATCTAGAGCCAACAACAATTAGCCGGGGGTCAGAGTTCGGAGCTCGGTCTGCCACGATGGGCGGGTTTGCATCGCATCGAGGGCGATCCGAGTAAACAAATCATAAAGGCCGACGTGAAAGCCTCCTTACAGACGATCTCTTTCTCTCTACGCCAACCTGTCCGTTGATCTGATCTCTGCGTGCGTGATCCGGCTATAATAAAAAAAAAAAATGAAAGTAACCCCTTGGAGAGCAAAATTGAGAAATAATAATAACGAGCGAAGAAGTTATTAACAATCGATGCATTCTGTGTTTCAATGAAGATCCAGTAGATCGATCGATCGATTATGTAGACATTTTTATCTAAATTTAAGCTTTAATTTGACGTGGCACAAGAATTATTTCGCGATACTTTTATGTCATCGAATCATCACTCTTTCCACCCTTATTCCTCGAACGCGTGCATAGTCTCTACTCGTCTAAACTTCCATCTCCCTTTTTCACTTTCTCCTCTCTCTCTCCTGTTGTTCGGTCCAGCTTTTATCCCTGCACGGAATGAGAACCCGAGATGCCCTCCTACAGATACAAATGGATACCTATGCCAACGGCGCAACCTGTTATTATACATTCCCCTATACAAACAACGTGTTAATCGAGCCCGCACCCTGACCACCTCTCTCTCTTTCTCTCTCCATCCCTCATTCGGATACGCGGTGTGGAGAACCGATTTATCGATCGTACCGCGTGCACTTATTCTTGTTCTTCTCTTGTTAGCCGGTATCGCGACGGTAAATTGGAATACACCGATCCGTTGCACATTTCGACGAACAATCAACCCGATTTCGACTGATCTAAAGAGCAGAGCTCTAAGAGTTTCTTCAAGATACATGAAAACTATTATTATTCATTTAATAAAATCGTGGAATTCTTATAAATTTGAGATCCAATCGGGGCTGCACTTCCTCGAACACGAATATCCTGCAATTTGCAACATAGGACAACAAAGAACCATAAAAAGTGGGATGGGTGAAGGGTAGAAGAGCAAAATGATGAAAAAGCAACGGTCAGAAACGGAAGAAGCTTCACAGTGTAGCCAGTGTGGAAAGACGATAAAGAGGGAGTGAGAGGGGATGATGAGGTATCTGCATTGCATCGTCGGTGCACGGTGCTTCGTGGTCAGGTCTCGATGCACCTGGTGCTCATCGTCTCGATCTCAAAGCTGCCCCAGGCCCACCTCCTTCTCTCTCTCTCTCTTCATCGTCGTGGATCTTCGGTATCATAAGCGGCGCTACCCTCGTAAGCGTCTCGAAACGCCCTGAAAATCCACTGTGAATCGTTCGAGGATCGATCTGACGGCGATCCGTACTCGATAGTCGGCCCAACTTCCCTAGGAATCCTGGTGCATTATGAAAAACGTCTGGTAACTCGCGGCTAGGTTCTACGTTACGACACATCGTTAAGCGAGGCCAGGGAGGAATCTCTTCTTGTTCTTCGTTGCTCGAAACTTTCTTCGTTTTACGGCTTAGAGTAACATCGTGAAATTGAATTACTCGGTCTACGATCGGGTACGGGTTATCGGCTCTATCTGCTGCCAAAGGGGGTTGGCAAACGGTTCAGACGTTCCCTTAAAAATAGTTCCTTTTTTTCTCTCCTCGCTGAAAACAAGGGTTGCTTCCGCTTGGATAACGAACGCGCTGCTTTGTTGCTACCAGA